TGCGCAGCCAGGAATCCAGGAGCTCCCTGGCCCCGTCGGCTGGAGAAGATGATTTACTGCCCGTTCATCTCCCTCCTCTTGCCCTCCCGTCTCCTCTACCAGAGGACATTTGTTTCATTGCTGTGACTGGTCTGGGCTTTACAGGGGAGGAGTTTTCTTTCATCTGTTTTTTTCTTTTTTTTTTTTTACTAGAAAAATTCAAAGGGATGTGGGCTGTGACAAGCCCTCTAACATGGTTTTTGTGCCACTGGGGTTTAGACAATTAGATGGCTGGCAGGTGTTTTGGACATCCCCTGACCTTGCAAATATGTGTGTTTTATAGGTGAAAGTGCGGGAGCCAGGAACTGGCATATTAAAATGTGCCTATTAGCATCATTAACATGGTTTGCATGGAAGGGTTTTGGCATGCCCTCCTCAAGGCTCGTGTTTTTATGGGCTTACTAATTTATGAGGCTGTAAAGAAATAACTGTTCCAGATACGTCTGTCTGTTAATGTTAAGCAGGCCTTAGCGTTCCTCTCCCCCTCGCGCTGGCAATGTCCCCGTGCCCCAGCTGGTGGCAGGTTGTGTCCCTCATCTTGCACAGTGATTCTGATGGGCACTGACACCAACCCACTCACTTGGCATCGCAAAGTTGGACACGAGGTGTCTCTTTTTTTATTTTTATTGGGTCACTCCAGTTATCTTGGTGCTGTCTTTTCGACCAGAGAGATGCAGTTGTTCCTTTATGTCCAAGTGTATGGAGTTGGAGGGGGGGGAGATATGAGGAGTCCTTGAAGTATTCTCCTTGGCTTAGCTGTCATCATGCTGAGAGCCTTCCTGAGCGTGGTGTTTTGTGACTGAAACCACATGTCCCTTTGGGACCGTCTTCTGTGAACTGCTCCAAAGGCAACAGGATGTCCTTGTCTTCTCCAAAGACAAGAGCTTGTCCATGCTCCTGGGTGCTGGGCTGGCCCACAGGAGATGGGTTGGTTGGCAAGTCTGCCACTGGTCTGCTGCTGCAGGCGACTTGCAACACCTCTCTGAGCTTTGATTTCTCCCTGTATAAAACGGGGGGCTATTCTGCATGCTGCTGTGAAAATACAGCTCTAGAAACAGGGTTTAAGAGCCTGCATTGCCATTGCATGGCAGCTCTTGTCTGCAGCAGAAAGATCATGAAAGCAGAAGTGAGGAGCCCTTGGTTTGCCAGATCAAGGGTGGGTTTGTGTTTGTTACATTAGTGCCAGGATGCTGTTCTGAGGAGGCTGAAGCATGCCCATGAGCCCCAAGGGTCATCGTGTGTCAGGAGCGCAGTTCCAGTGGTGAGGACGGCTGCTTTGAGAGAGTCAGTATGACAACCCCTCTTCCAGTGCAGCACATGGCTGAGTGGCTTGCCAAAGGCGACCTGCTTCGATACCCAGTGGTAGTTAAGAGCACTTAATCAGCAAAAGAAAAGTGAATTTCTGTGACGCAGGCTGCAGCCAACTTAGACGTGTGTCTGAACCACAGCAGTGGCTGCACCCCACTGAACGCTGTCTGAAAGCAAAGTCCTGTAGAAATGAAGCCCCAGGAAAGGTGCCCTGGAAAGAGCGATGGGCTGCTTTGGAGAGGGCGAGGAACTTGCCAAGAGATTTTGTGGTAAAGGCAGCAGAGTGGGCCTGGTTGTCTGCTTCCACCCCAGGGCTGTTACACAGTTGTATGTATATAGGTGTATGCTGTGTGTCGCACAGGATTTAACACCAGGCTTCCATCCTTGCTCGTGCGTCCTGGAGTATTTTACACTTGGTGTGTTAAAAGCTTACAGGAGACCTAAGAACCTATGAAAACCTGCTCGTCACAGCCGTGCCCATCAGGGTCCTCGTTGTCCATCACGAAATATGTCTCTGCCTCCCGCCATCAGACACACCAGAATACTCAGCAGCTTTAAATAGCAGCTGTAGGTGTTTTTGTCCTCCTCATCCAGATGATGCTGTCTGGAAGTTTAGAATGTGCCACATTCAGCTGTCTGCCAGACGGGATCATGGATATCCCACACTTGGGATATCCAGTGCTGGGAGCCTGTCCTGGTGGGAAGATCCTGATATCGGATCTCGAGGCTGGGGCCAGGCTGCAGATGCTCTCTCCTGTAAAGCTTCTAGACATTTGGCCCGATGCTATTAAGGATCAGATCAAAGCATTGCTCCTTGTGGTGCTAATGAGGGCAAGGAATAGTGTTCCTATCCGAAAGCTGCAGGAGCAAGGGCTGCAAATCAGTTTCTTCCTTATTTGCTATAAAACACTTTAGGTACTGGGCTGATAATGGGAGAAAGTGCTTGTCCCTAGGAGCACTGGCCTTTAAGCTTGTGGATATGCTGCTGGGCTTCCAGCTAGAGCTCTCTGACTGGCAGTGGGAAGTTGTGGAGAAAGTCAGTATCTTAACTGGAAAGAAATCGGAGCTGAAAAGTGAAGGCCGACCTCTTCCAGAGCATGCAGGTCACATCCTTTGTCCCACAGGTGGTAAGTGTTGTTTGGGTTCTGTAAGACAGCGTGCACCCTCTGACTGTTCTCAGCAGTGGTTTACAGTTCTGTTTTTAAAACACTGTCGCTGGCTTCATTACCTGACAGTCTTCGGCCCTCTCACCAAGGGGAGGACGTTTCCTGCCACGTGTCTTGGCTGCTGCTTGTTGCTTGGCTGCTCCTCCTTTGTTTTGCTCTGCACACTGCTCTCGGCTTCATCGCGGTGCAGGTGGTGCTCAAGGTGAGACTGTGGCTTTATGTCCTTTCACGCTGCTGAGGAGGAGACCTGGGAAGTGACTGGAATTACTGTTCTGCCTGTGAATTGCCTTTTCCAAGCCAAGTGCTGCTGGGGAAGGCCTCGGGTATCTCACGAGTGTACCAGCCGTTACGTCTCCCACAAAGTCCGTGCTGTGAACAGAGAATAACCTGGTGCACTCCACTGGAAAGAAACACTTCTTTCCCTTTCTGCTTTCTGAGGCAACACAAAGCTGGTGTGTGGTCTGGGTGCTGTGTGTGGTGCAGGCTGAGCTACTTCCTATGAAATCTCCCAAAAAGCTGGAGAACTGGGGGAGTCCCTGGGTCTGCGGTTCCTCACTGGCCTGAGCCACTTTGGTTCTTCCCCTGACGCTGCTGTTGCGACCCCTGCTTTGTGCTGCTGCTGGTGCTTGTTGCATCCTGCATTGCTCCGTGTGCTACACGTGCAGAAGAGGTGTGCTCTGCTGTTTCTGCTGTTTTTGTAATTTAATGCATTGACAGGGTGCTAATGTGCCAACCTCTGCAGGGCAATTTCTGTGAAGATCCAGTGAAGGGGACAGAAAAGTTTTTTGGGTGTTTGTTTTTTTAAAACAATATGTATTTTAAATTAAATATATTTAAATGTATTTAAATATTTAAAGTGTATTTTCCCCTCCTCTAAGCTTTTCCACAGAAAGTAGTAGAAGTACGCATTTTCACAGGCCCACTGATTGCACGAGCCAGCCCCTCTCTCTCTATATCAGAGCCAGTGATTTCCTGAGGTACCGTTGTGACATCCCCCTGTTCCCGAGCTGCCACTGTGTATTTTGATTACCAGCCTCATGGCTGAGCACCCCTTGCTTTATGGGGGGTTATCCTGTTCGCAGACGTGCTCTGCTCCCAGCTCCCCACGTGCTACGTGTCCCACAGCTCCAGCATTAAAACATTTTGGTATCGCTCTTTTCCAAGTGTGGTGTTTCTCCAGTTGCCTTGATTATTCTTCATTTACAGCGCATCACTTCTTGGAGGGTACACGCAGTTTAGCTGTGGAGGTGATGAAATAAGATGGCCTGCTGTAAAACCGCAGAAATAAATGAGGATGGCTGTAGATTTTGTCACTACCTGGGTGGGGGTGTTACCAAAGCAGCCTTCAACTGATGCACTTGAGTGTGTTCTCCTAATTCTGCTGCAGGCCAAACCACTGGGAAGCGCAGCAGCACTGGAGGCTCAGTGGGCTTTCCCCGGGGTTGTTAAACACCAAGCAACCAGGCTTCTGCAAATGGACAGCGAAGGCTTGGGTTTTAAAAAAGCAAGGGGCAGTGGCTATTGGAGCAGCTGGTTGCTATTTGCTGGGGAAACAACGTACTCTAATACACATACAAAATCAGTGGTTTAGAGGAGAACTAAGGTGAATGTACCTGCAGCAGTGGCTGCTCTCCTGCTGCTGGGAAAGCAAAGCAAAGCGGTGAAAGACTCTCACCTACTGCCCAGGGAGGCTGAACAAAGAGGGGGCAAAAGTATAGCACTTGGGAGGGGGGGGGTTTGTTGTTTTTGAAGTGGCCTGATGCCCCAGCCTGTAAGGTATCACACCTGGGATGTGTACTGCAGTGGAGTGTGGTGGGGGTCCCCGTAAACAGCAGCTGAAATCCACACCTCAAAGTGAGCAGCCCCTTCCAGCAGGGCAGTTCCCTAAAAGTGTTTTACAGCATTTGCTGTGCTAGGAAAGTAGCTGCTTCCCCTAGGGGTGGGGCTCACAGGCTAGAAATACCTCTCTTTCCTTTTCTATTGATGGTGGCTCTTGTTAATGTTCTTGAAGTGCAAAATAGCCAAATTTTTGCTGCAGAAACACTTGCATTTGCCCAAGGACTTGAGTTGTGTGTAGGCCAGTTGCCAGGCTAAGCGGATACATTATGGACACCATTCCTCTACCTGAATTCCCAGTTGTGGTTTTCTGTGGTATTGTCTAATAGTGGTATTATATTATAATGCTATAATGTCTAAAAGTCCTGGAATAACTCCACTTTTAGCTCAGAAACTTGAACAATAAATGCAGGCTAGCCAGGTGTTTAGGCAGGGTATGGCTGTCTAATTGCCATGTCTAGGTAGGTGAGTTTGGCTCAATCTCAGTAATTTC